GGATCAACAAAACAAGCAGCAATTGGTCCAAAGCTGCTTTTAGGGCCCATGGGCCATTGGGATGACCTAAGTGCCATATGTGAGAGTTTTCACTGTTATTCCTGCAGGTCATAGGGGTACCTCTCTGCTTTTGGAACCCACGACAGTCTTCAGACAGGACTTCTGAGTGAGCTTCGGAGCGCAGCGTGGGAGAAAAGCGGGAGCCCTCCCGCCTTGAAGCACGTAGCAGAGGGTGCCACAAGCTGCGGGATGCGCCGCTGCCCCGGGTGAGGCCACCCAGCCCGTGTCCCTGCCGGAGGGGCCTTGCTGCCGCGCAGCCGCCCACGGCGCTCCGCCCTTCCCTGGCCTCCGCTCCGGCAGCTGGCCCCAAGCCCCGTGTGCGCCACCGATCTGTGCTTGCAGCTCTCATCATTCCTGGCCTGAGCCCCAGCCTCCAGGCAGGGCACTCTGCAGCCTCACCCAGCACTTACCATTATGGCCAAGCAGCTGGTTTTTGTAAGTCCGTAATTTTCAGAGTTTATTCCATGGACGTCTAAGTCCTCTCTTGGCAGAGATTTGGCAAACAAAGCCCAGCCAGGGAGCTGTTTCATCATTTGTTAGTTGGCTTATTTTTACATCTGTTCAGCCATTCTTTTGGTATTTTCTATGCAGCAGAAAAGGCAGCAGAAAAAAACACAAGAGCAATAATTTTCACTTGCTTACTATTAAGGTTTTTTATTGATCCTTGTTTTACTATTCATTATTTATGATTTATTTGAAGAAATAAACATATTTTCTTATATTAAAAGTATTTACTGTGTAAATAGATTCCATTTTCAAGTAGCATTTTTTTCTGACACTTTAAAGCACTCATTAACTTAGGAAATGAATATCCATCAAATTCTGATATTCTGCTGTTGATAATTGCTGGCTTTGTGCAAGGTTGCTCTGTAGATGATTCAGTAGACAGTGGCCACTTTTCACTGTATTTTTTTTCTTGCTTTTTTAATTCTTTTCCCATTTTTCCTGACAGAACTGAAAATCTGGAACCAAGCTGCATAAATTCTGTCATTTTTGGTGATTTAAATTGAAAAGAATTTCTGTAAGGTAGTGGAGTTGCCATAAATTTCTCCTAGTAGCAGAATTTATGCCTATTGAGGAGTTTTGGGGGGAAATGCTGTTGAATATAAGCTCTGTGAATTCAGTCTCCGAAGAGAAACGTGTCCTCAGGCTTTCTAAAATTCCACGGCGTGCTCTGCTTCCACGGTTTAAGCCACACGTGAGCTAGCTGAAAGGCAAGATTCACTGATACCCATAGCAACCAGTGCCAGGTGGAACTGCCTGCCTTTGTGGGGTTTTGCTTAGGGCGTAAGAAGGAAAGGCTGCCCTTGTTGTGAGGGTCCTGTTGCAGGTGAGCAAGTGCAGCCATTGCCCAGCGGGTGTCTGGATTCCCGGGAATCCTAGTGCTGGCAAAGGCTGCTTTATAGGCGCTGCACCTGCCTGTTGTGGTTTTCTCCTCTTAAAGCGCATTGACAGGATCTGATAACTCAAACCTCAGTTGTCATCTGGCCAGTTTTCATTTGGCTTTGGAAAATATTTCCATGAACTTTTTTCAGGGGGAAAAAAAGCTGAGTTTGTTTTCCTGTGCCACTTCTAATTAGTTTTACCATTCTAAAATTCCTCTCTGTGCACTGAGCAGGTAACGGAACAAGGAGACACGCAGTGCATCAAATGTGCTGCCTGCTGA